TTCCATTACCAAGAAGAATAACTACCCCATTCCTTTGATAGATGATCTATTAGATGAATTATATGGAGCATCAGTATATTCTAAGATTGACTTAAGGGTTGGGTATCATCAATTGAGGATGAAGCAAGAAGACATTGAGATAGAAAACTGCTTTTATAACTGCCAGTGGACTCTATGAATTTACTGTCATGCCTTTTTGACTGACAAATGCTACAGCCACATTCCAATCCCTTATGAACAATGTATTTAAGGATTGTTTAAAACAGTTTGTGGTAGTCTTATTTGATGACATACTGATCTACAATATAGACAAAGAGACTCGTAAGGAGCATTTGAGAAAAATTTTTCTATTATTACAGTAACATAGCATATACGCTAAGAGGTCTAAATGCACATTTGGAGTTTCAAAAGTGGAGTATTTGGGACATATTATCAGTTCTGCTGGAGTTGCTGTAGATCCTGAGAAAATCAGAAGCATTGCGGAATGGCCTGTACCCTCTACTTTTAAAGCATTAAGAGGATTTCTTGGCATGACTGGGTATTTTAGGAAGTTCTGCTTTCAGTATGGAATTAAAGATAAACCATTGATTGAACTGACTAAGAAAGGAATGTTCAAGTGGAGTGAAACAGCTCAGCAAGCATTTGAGGGCCTTAAAGTAGCCATGTGTACTGTTCCAGTGCTGCAACTACCCAATTTCAAGAAAACTTTCATAGTAGAAACAGATGCTTGTTATGAAGGATTAGGAGTTGTATTGTTACAAGAAGGACATACTTTAGCTTACATAAGTAAAGCTTTGGGAGCCAAGAACTTGGGGTTATCCATTTATGAGAAGGAATTCCTAGCTATATTACTAGCTATTGACAAATGGAGATCTTATCTACTTCATGCCCCTTTCATCATAAGGACAGATCAGATTAGTCTTAAGTACTTGGTTGATCAAAGGATATCTACTCCTATTCAACATAAGTACTTAACTAAACAACTGAGATTTGATTACAGGATATAGTACAAAAAAGGGCATGGAAATAAGGTGGCAGACGCTTTGTCCAGAAGAGATCAAACAGAGGGACAAATGAAAGGAGAATTCCTTAATATATCCATTATAAGACCTAAATGGCAGACAGAACTGATTGAGAATTACCAAAATGATGGATAGGCTGAGGAGGCTATATTACAGTTGATAACCATTCCTTATAATATGAGTTATTATTCATATCATAATGGATTGTTGAGATACCAAGGCAAACTGTATGTAGGATCACATGAAGATTTGAGGAAAAAGGTAGTTCATATGATGCATGCTACTCCTCAAGGAGGTCATTCAGGGGTGTTGGTGACCTTACAAAGAGTAAAAACAAAATTTTGTTGGCCTCAAATGACGAAATCAGTACAAGAAGTGGTGAAAAGGTGTACTATCTGCCAGATTTCTAAGTATGAGAATATTAAACTCCCAGGATTACTACAACCCCTTCCTATACCACAGCAAGCTTGGCAACATATCACTATGGATTTTATTGAGAAATTGCCAAAATCTGGAGGGTATGATGCCATATTAGTGGTAGTTGATAGATACACTAAATATGCACACTTTATACCATTGAGTCATCCATTTACTGCTTCAGTAATAGCTGCAATATTTATGGATCAAATCTGCAAATTTCATGGACTGCCTGAATCTATTACATCTGATAGAGATAAGGTATTCATCAGCTTATTTTGGAAAGAGTTGTTTAAATCATTGGGAGTACATCATCATCTAAGCACATCATACTATCCCCAAACTGATGGACAAACGAAAAGAGTAAATCGATGCTTAGGAAACTACTTGAGATGCATGAGTGGGCAGAATCCTAAGGAATGGAGTAAATGGTTATCACTAGCTCAATGGTTGTATAATAGTTCTTCCATACTGTCACTGGGATGAGCCCCTTAGAAGCCTTGTTTGGTTACAAATCTCTTGTAATGAATATGGGACCTTATTCGGAATTGTCAGTAGTGGGAGTGGAGAATGAAGGAAATGGCTGATAGAGGCAGAAGTGAACGTGAACTGAGCATAGGAGATTGGGTTTATCTTAAACTCAAACTCTATAGGCAATTGAGCATGAAGAAATCGGCCATGTGGAAGTTAAGTCCCAAGTACTGTGGACCTTTTCCAGTCATAGAGAGAGTGGGGCAGTAACTTATAAAGGGTTTACCAGAGGGGAGCAAAATACATCCAGTTTTTCATGTGTCCCTACTCAAGAAACATGTTGGAGAGAAGGACATGATTTCAGAATCCATACCAGCTTTGAATGAGGAAGGAAGTATCATGTTAATTCCTGTGGGAATTTTAGCTAGGAGAATTGTAAAAAGGAATAATGGGAAGTTGTAGTTCAAGTGCTTATCAAATGGGCACACTTACAGAAGGATGAGGCTACCTGGGAGGACTATAATGTGGTTATCAAACAGTTTCCTCAACTAGAAGCTTGTGGTCAAGCTTTAATTGAAGAAGGGGGTAATGTCAAGATTAAAGACTCGGTATTCAAAGCTGGAGTATTTACTGCAGGTCTGGCCATGTGAATTAAAGGAAGAATGAGGAGCAACTGGTCAACGAATAACAAACTGATTAGTTTGAGTAGTTAAAGAATAACTAATCGGTTAATATTGTTGTATAGTTGATAGCTATAAAAGACCAGACTTGTATCGTTTTACATTCATGAAATGAATTATACAATTTCTTCTTCTCCATTCTTCTCTCATAATGTCTGGTTATTCATTTCTCTGTTTGTGATTGAACGCATTCCTCGTTCATTCATAACACCAAGCCTTTAAACTTTTCTTTCGTGCAAAAAGATTTAAATCCTTTACATGAGGGAATTTTCCCCCTTCACTCACGGTGAAACAATTTGATGGAACTACCAATTGTTAAGTTGCTTCTTTGAATTAATTTTATTTGTTTATTAACTAATTTTGTTAAACGGAGTTACAATATGAGGATAAGTTATAGAGGGAGTTTTTGCCACTTTTAGGGCAAGTATTCGGGTTCGGTTACTTGGGTTGAAGTCAACGGGTCACACTGGGTTAGGAGTCCGGTTGTGGTGTCAAATACAGTTGATGTTTGGGAATGAACATGAACTTGGTGGAGAGGTTTAATATGAATTCTAAGTTTCAATTTTTTGGGGCAAAATATTTTCCACTAACGTTTTTAATTAATGTCTTCTTGCAAGACTCGTTTGAGTTCGATACGATCTTCTAAAGAAATTAATTTTTTTGTTACTGTTGTTCTCCAAAAACGGAACAAGGTTTTTACGAAATTTAAATGTCGGTTTTGTACTATCCAAATTGGTTGTATTAATTGATTCTGTTGAAATTTATTAAGTTCTACATCAAGTGGCTAGATTGGATCATTCTGTTGTTTATAAAAAAAATATATATTTAACATATACAAAATATATTCTATTAATTAAATATAAAAACAATTATATGAAAAACAACCTAAAATTAAATGATTTTATACAGTAACTTCAGCTCATACAGTTAAAAAAGTAACCCCAACTTTATTTTGTCTTATTATTACACAATTCGAAATAAGAAGTTACGTGTTTGGTGAAAAATTTGGCTAATAAGCGTGATAAGCCGATTAAACAGAATCACCAAATGACTTTTTATAGATGTATACGGAGTAAAAGATGAAATGAAAGACCCATAAGTGTCATTTATGTTCTTTTCGCCCAATGAAAAAGAGGGTCACCAAATACACTTTACTATGGAATGTTTGAAACTGATTCTACTTATGTTTCTTTTCTAAAAGACTGAGCAAAATCAGCTGAATCATTATTTAGAAAGCAATCACCACTATCTTCAAAAAACCGCTTCTAGGATATATTTGGAGCACACAGAAGTATTTTTCACCGTTCAAATACTATAATATATGCTTTTGGTCCTTAATCAACAAAAGCACTTTAAAAAAGCAGATCCAGACACTCTCTATTCACACTTAAATACATGATTATCATACACACTAAAGATTTCCATTATGAAAATATCTTGCATTGGTGCACCTATATTCTGACATATTGCATGACAAAACTCATTCAAGTAAAAAAAGAGCTCATCTAGGTTGAGAAATTCTTTGTTTTAAAAAAATAAACATTAGTCTATAACCCCCTTTTCCAATTTCTAACTTATAATAATGTTGATGGTACTCCAATTGAAATAAATAATTGAATAGAAAGTGTTTAGCAAAGACTGGACTGCTTTGAGTCTTAGCTCGAGTCAAGTAAGACCAATCCGGTCGTAACCAAAGCAGTCTTAAAAACATCATTAACATGAAATAATGACCCGATTTCAAGCTAGAAGTGAACAACCAACAAACTAACGTAACGTGTAGAACCAAGACACCAACTGATCACATTGGAGACATATGATGAAATAACTAATAACAATCTTCTTTCTCTTAAGACATTACAGCTATCCAAAAAGAGGGGCAATCCCCGCTTCCGATTCACGGAATAAGTAAAATAACGTTATGAAAATATCTTTTGGACATATTTGGCGAGAAAATAACTGGACGGCCCACTACATTGCTACTATTGAGACGGCCCATTTACAATTTTATACTTCTATTAATTTGTTACCTGCTAATATTCGTAAGGCTTATTATCTGGATTTATTTGGCATTCCTTCTTTCAGATATACGTGATTGTTTTTCGAGAGGTTTTGGTCTAGTCCCCCTCTCATCTGTGTAATATTATCTCTCTTTAATAAAATAATGACAAATGTTCCCTGGCAAAAAAAAAACATTACAGCTATCCAACGAGTAATGACCACATAATTAGACTTAAATACAGACCAGATCAGATAAGACTTAAATTACATCAGATCAAATCAGATCAGACTTAAACAGTCCAGACCAGACCAGATGATACCAGACTTACATAGTTATAAATATACAAAGATTAAACATTTACCAGACCAGATCAATTCAGACAGAACAGAACAAACTAAATTAGATCAGACCATGAAATTACAATCAATCAAAAATCCTTAATCTATAGTAACCAAATTACATTAGAGATGATTATTAAAGAACTAATAAGGTGCACACAGCACACTGCATATGAACATAAGAATATGAAAGTACGAAACTAGTTAGCATAAAAAGGTGCACACACGAACATAAGGAACATTTTTGGAACGAATTGCATTTTCGTAAAAGTCAACGTTCTTTCATAGTTTAAAATGAAAAGAACTTAATTGCTTCAATTTGTCCGAATTTGGGCTGCTGTGGTAGTAGACGCAATCGGCGGGGGCTGCCTAATTAACCCGCAGGCTACGAAATACATTGTGCGGCATCAAAGACATGACGTCAGAAGCAGGCGGCGGCCGCTGCGGGACGGCGGCCCGACGGCGGCATAAAGGGCAGGTGGCGTTCCTCCTCAGCCACGCCTCAATACAATATTTATGGAAATCATGTGAGCAAATGGGAAGCAAAGTGGTAATCTCTTGACCTCTGGCATATTCCGACAAACACACGGCGCAAACTCTCTGCTTCCGATCATCTTCGCCGCCGCAGCTTTCCCAAGTATCCGACTGCAGTCTCCCGATTTCATCTTCCGTCAATCCCGTCCTCTCCATATTTGTCCGCAATTCTAGAATTTAGCTCTCAAGAACTAATTAAAAATAATGGAAACCCAATTCAAAATGAGGAAATATAGAATGCCCGGCTGCACCACCGGCCGGCCTCTAATCGCCCTTTTATATATCAGAAACGCAAGGCTGTTTAGGCAGCTTGTTCCTCAAGCGATCCTTAATTACAGCCGCCATTAAATTAAGATTAAATTGATCAATTTCTAATTGACTCTTGTTTCCTAATAATTTTGTGATATTCAACCCCAATTTCGTGATCCAACCGATAAAATTAGCAGAAAGTGTGTTCAAATTAACTTAACTCTTGTTTGTTGTTGATAATAATATACCATCACTTACTACTAGATTCGAGTAGTTTCATCACTTACTACATTTGGATTCTTGAATGTGAAGGGGCTTAGCGATGAGCAAGTGGTCAGTTATTGAGACATTCTTGGGAATTTTTTGAAGCATGGGGACAATTGTAATATTGACGTAGTTGAGCTGTTTTCGGAACTGTAGTCGCTTGCAAAATCATTACCCAAATGCACAACAAAAGTGATTGGTTGAAGTGTTGGAGTACCGTCTATAAATTAAATTCTCTTTACACATGTATAAGTATTCACTCGGTAAATTCAATTTTTTTCTACAATCTAGCACTGTCAATATATTCACTCATTAAAGTTTCTTTTAATTAGATCCTTTCTTTTATTTTTGTATTATTTTTTTCAATTTTTTGTGAATAATTATTGTCTAAAAATTCAAAAAATTCGATGTAAAAATAAATAAATAAATTTGAAGTTTAATTTTTTTGTTGTTACTTTAGATCTTTTAAAAAACAGAAAGTTGTAAAAAAATATTTAAGAATGAGATCGTAATTTTAACACTTTGTATTTTTTAAACTTTATATATTCAATATTGATGTCTTATGAAAGACAATAAAAAGTTATGAATATTGATATACTCTTTTTAAAAATTGGAGAAAATAAAATATATATATATATAACACTTTAAAGAAAATTGAGATTTTTTGTTTTAACTGGGGCCCACATATGTTCTTTGTTGCACATGAAAAATAAGGAACATAGCTTCTCAACCCCTCGGGTGCTCCCGAAGTGGTCTCACTCTTAAATCATGGTCAGATACACGTTGGGAAAGTTGTGTTGCTTGTGTGAGAGTTTTCCGGTTTCAAGAGTCACAGATAAAACAAGCACTTGAGAACTTGATCAAATGTTGTAATGATCGTACGTAGCACGGTAAGTGATGCAAAGTCCATACGTAAGTATGAAATGAACTTTGATTTCCTTGTTTCTATGGTAATCCGGCACGAGATACTCACAAGGTAAACAAAGTTAGCAAAGCCCTCCAATAGAAAGATATGGTCATCAATTTAGCTATTACTCTCTTGAAAGGTCTAGTTGCATATTTCTAAGATTATAGAGAAGATGAATTTGAGAAAGCCAATTTTGTGAAACACGAGTTCATACCGAAAGGAAGTTTTTTTACGAGAATGCAATGGATGAACCGATAAAATCAGCGGAACGTGTGTTCAAGTTAACTTACTTCTTGTTTGTTGTTAATAATGCTATATCTTCACTTACTACTAGATTTGAGCAGTTTCAAAATACGAGGATATATTTGGATTCTTGTATGACTTGAGTAAGTTGAAGGGTCTTAGCTAGCGATGAGCAATTGGTCAATTATTGTGACACTCTTGGGAATTTTTTGAAGCATGAGGACGATTGTGATATTGAAGTGTTGGAGTACAAATGCTTGGATTGTTTACAAAATTTTGTTGAGTATTCCGGTGATAGTGGCTACTACGGAAAGAAGCTTTTCAAAGTTGAAGCTCATAACTAACTATCTACGATCAACCATGTCATAAGATAGATTAAATGGCTTAGCTATGTTATCTATTGATAAAACAGTGTTAGCTACTCTTGAATCCAGTGATGTTGTTACTGATTTTGCACTTCAAAAGGATAGCAAAATAGGTCAATAGAGTGTTACAAGTACAAGTTTGTTGTGTATTTTGTATATGCTTGCATTGTTGCATTTAAAAACTTATCCTTATGATTATAAAAAATATTATATCGTACACTTTGAATATGTTTTCTTTCATATTATACTGTAAATTTTTTCCGTATAGGGCCTCCCAAATGCTAAAGGCGCCCCTGCTCCCAGTCCACCACAGCACCCTCCAATTTGGAATGAAAACCATAAATTTGGTGTTTTACGCTCATTCCAATTGCGGACAACCTAAGTATAGGAAGTTCAACAATAGAGCTCACGCAGTCTAAGTATAGGAAGTTCAACAATAGAGCTCACGCAGTAAACAGTAGCATTGAAATTAGTTGAAATTGTTGAATCTACTGAAAATTGAGAAAATATTGGTTGAAATGACTGAATTGGTTAAATTACTTATATATGACTAAAATAAAGATTGTTTACAAAAATGTGACTAGTGACTAGAGTAGTAATGAAATAATAGTAACTTATGTATAATATTTAAACTTAAGTTACCATGACACTACATTGTAGTAACTATTAGTCATATTTGTGTAAATAAGTTTTGTTTTAGCTGGTTAAAAAAAGTTTTATTTTAGTAATGTTTTTGTAAAAAAAGTTTTATTTTAGTAATTTATGAAAAATCATATTTGAAATATATCCAATAAATAAATAAATAAATAAAAATATGAAAATAGATAAAATAGTCATTTAGGGTAACTTAATCAAATTCGGGTAGAAAATAATTTCAACCTTACTTATTTTAATTAGGGAAAAAGATCAAACAAGGCCTTCTACTATTACAGAATCGTCACATGATAAGTCCGTATTTCGACACGCATTTGATGCATGTTGAAATTGGATTTTGATTGTTTTTCTAGCTTTAAGGTGTTACAAGTCTCAATTTTAGCTCAAGTTATGTTTACCGGGCGTTGGTTCGAATTTTATGCCGTTTGGAGTCAAAATCGGGAATTCAGAGTCCGGCACCGACGCTTGAGGAGCAATCGGGATGAGTTGAGAAGCATTCGAGATTGATTTGAGACCTTTGGAGATTACCGGGAGGTTTACGATGAAGATTTGATGACAAAAGAGCTCCAGAATTGACTACGGGATCAAAAGAAGATGAATAGAGCTCGAAAACGGCGATAAGGATGATCCTCTGTCAATCGTTCAAGCATATCTCTTTGTAGAAACATCCAAAGGACACAATTCAAGTTGCTTATGAAAGCCAACTTCAAGGGATACAAATCATATACATAGACTAGTGCGAAAATCTGAGAGGAGCAAGGTGAAAACAGACGATGAAGTCAGATGATCTCTGTTACGATTTCAGAATGTCACCTTCCACCATTTTTTTCATATCTCTTGATTGGATGATTCAAATCCAATTCCGCAAGTTGTGGTGGATAGAGAACATCATTATCTACAATTTTCATGAGAGAAGTTTTGTCAAATTCGGACTTGAGAAACGGTGAAGAACTGGCTAGGCACGACCGCACCTAGAAGGAGGCCCGATCGTGCCTCAAAGTAAAAATTCGTGTGGAGCTACTGGAAGCCAGGCATGATCGTTCCTTGAAGGGTAGGCATAATCGTTCATACCCCCGTGTTACGCGAATTTCAGTCCCAGTTCGGCCAGAATTCATTAATTTTCCCTTTTTTTCTATAAATAAGGCATCCATACTCCTTTTTGAGGGTTACGAACATTACGGAGAGTGATGTGTGTTTTCTCGCACTTAAAAATGATGTAGTAAAGTGGTTGAAAGTACGAGTATCGTCTCCACAGGGACGGACAAAAGGGAATTAAAGATTAACTAAATTCAGCGAATAAAAATAAAATAAAATAAAATAAAATGCAAGTGTGCGAGATTGATTGATTGAATAAAAATTAAATTAAACTAATGTGAACAATTAACCTAGGGGGTTCTTTCTAATTAATGACGAAGGGAGCAGGGATCGATTCCGGGGTAACCAGATTTCTGGCAGATCAGGCCTAATTACATGAAATTAATTTAATTGAGCCTAGCTAATCATTACTAAGTTCTTACCGCTCTCGCGGCGTAGAGTACAATAATTTAGGGGACCAGGCTGATCTCTCATGCGACAGGATCCTAAATTATTGCCAAGACGAGCGAGCTTACGGCCCCTTAATCGCTACTAATCTCTTAGCGAACGATTAAGTGTGTGTGAATGTGTCCTAGAACAAATTAGATCTCTCTTAATTTATTCTACATGCAATTGTAATTCTAGTGGCCATCTAGGTTACAAGAGATATCAGTTAAATTATTCAAACACAAATTAAACGGCATTCATGCAATTAGACCGACAAGAATCTAGCCATACATCATGATTAACCCCTTCATCAACCCCAAATCCCTAATTAAACTACTCACAATTCATAATTGAAGAATCAATAGAATTGGGATGAATAGAAATAATTGTCATTAATTAAAAAGATGAAACTTACAAAGAATCTCAGGGTCTTGAACAAAATAGCGGAAAAACACTGTAAAACACGTCCCTAAGCTTCTCTCTAGGTTTCCCCCCTTCAAAACGGGGTTAGGGAGGCTTTATTTATAGAAAACAATGAGTTTGGGTCGAAAAAGGACAGATCCGCGGTACGCACGGAGCCTATGCACGGCGTGCGTTGCTGCCGTGCGTCCGACGGACCTGCACGTGAAAATAGGCAACGCACGGAGTGCGTTCCCCTACGCACGTCCGTGCGTTGCTGCCAGTAGCCTTTCGCCATTTTAATGCCTTGAACGCACGGAGTGCGTACCCGGACGCACGGCCGTGCGTTGCTGCCAGTAGCTCCCTTCAATTTAACGCCTTGGACGCACGGCGTGCGTACCCGGACGCACGGCGTGCGTAAAACTTCCGAATTTGACAAAACTTTCTTCATGAAAGTTGTAGATGATGAAGTCTTCTATCCAACCCAATTTGCCGAATGTGATTTGAATCATCCAATCAAGAGATATGATCAAAACGGTGGAAGGTATCATTCTGAGATCGCAGCAGAGATCATCTGACTTCATCGTCTGTTTTCATCTTCTTCCTCTCAGATTCTAGGAATGATGTCTTCATATGATTTGTAGATCTTGAAG